GTCCACCTCACAATATTTTCAGTTTACAGTCACAGTCTTTTTCCCATTTATGAAACAAACTCATCATGATAAATTTTGAAGTAAAACGTTATGTTTCTTGGCATTTAACAGAAGATGAGTGAAACAGTCTGTGAATGCGTTGATTTTTCCTCCAGTTACAGCATTTTTCTTACTCATGAGACACACTCACCAGTATAATGTTAATCTTGGCGCATGAAGAACTACAATGAAACAACCAAAAGGCACATCTATTCATTTCACAGCCATGAAGGATGAAGTACTATAGATTGAGAGAGTCTGTCAACCAGGAAGATACCTTTACCTTTGACCCGTGCCAGGGGCGGATCCATGAATATCAGAAGAAGTTTTGGGTGGGGAAACATGTCGAGCAAAGCGAGCCCACCCAGCTGGGGGCGTTTTAGGGGACGCTGTAAGTCCCCCGAATTTGGGGGGAAATCTGAACAATATCAAGGGCATTTTGAGGCCATTTTGAAGCCATGTGCACTTGAAATATAGGAGATATTCTGAGGTCAATAGTAATTACTTTTTACAGTACAAAAATGCCTGAGTACAATACTGTATGAAAGAAAAATATTGGAATTTTCTGATAAAAAGGGGGTTCTGGACCCCCAGGACTCCTCTGGATCCGCCCTTGCGTGTGACCCACTTGGACTTACCCAACCTTAGTTAATGCCCAAGTGACCCACCGCCACATAGCAGTTAATCCATCAAACAAACTGCGCCGAACTTGGCCCGTAAACTCACACAAGTTAAAGTGTTTATATTGTTGACTATATATACTTATTTCACTTCTTTTATTGGGGAGGGGGGGAGGGGGGCATCCCCCTACATTCTTGTGTAAGGTGAAGCGCAGAAGCGTTTACAGCGCCCAACAGGGAAGCATGCTACTAAGTTCATGCTTGCCTTTATTTCTCAAGAGTTAAGGGCGTAAAAGACTGAAGAGTCAAGGGCGTAGAAGCCTGAAGAGTCAATGGTTTATGTCTAAGCAAGTTATTGGAAGCTCCGACAACTTGTCCCTGAACACGAATTCGCAACTATCGATTTACAGCAGGTACCTACTTTGCTGCTAGGTGAACAGGGACTAAGGGAGGCTGGGAAGTGTGTCCGGACAACTTTCCACTGGCCCGGGAATCAAACCAGTGACATCTCGCTTGCGAGGCAAGATCGGTACCGTTCTACCCACCGGCTCCCCCTAATTGTTTCACTGTTACATTTTCGTATTTATTTACTCTTAGGTGATAAGACAGTAATGAATTTTGTGTGACGATAATTCTTTTAATAAATATTGTTTTACTCACCAAAAGCTGGCTGCATCTACCTGAACCGCGGGCCATACTCAATATAATTTCTCAATCACTTCACGGGCTGCACAAAGACATGGTTCGGACCGCATGCGGCCCACGGGCCGCGGGTGACCTATGCCTGCTATATAACATGTGATGATGTAAAGATGACTAAATTTCTACACCAATTCTCGCGTTTTTCAACGACACAGAAATAAGAGAAATTCAATTATTCCACCACAATTATGTTAGCAAAATATAATTTCTAATATTCTCCGAGAGAGCGTCCTCAGCTTATTGCGTCAGAAGCTTCTCTCTTTATCAACTTGATTCATTTCGGTCAATTTTATTTGTTTCTGTCATACGAGATAAAAGTTATTTGTACATTTTACCAACACAAGAGAAACCCTAGACTTAAACTGTTTATTTTTAATACCAGCAAGTATATGTTTATCTTAATGGATACATATATAAGTGCATAAATCTACATGTGTGTGTGTGTGTGTGTGTGTGTGTTCGAATGGTCTGAAAAATTCCAGATGAAATTCAATGTGGACAAATATAAAGTACTCAGTCTAGGAGATGTAAACAGAGAAACCAGATGCCAGATGAACAACGATGTTATAGAGAAATCCGATTGCGAGAAAGATATAGGAGTAATGATAAGTTGGAATCTTAAGCCAAGTAAAGTACTTGGGTTCATAACAAGGAGGTCATACTAAAACTACAGCATATCATTCGCTTGTGAGACCTCACTTGGATTACGCAGTTCAGTTCTGGTCACCGTATTACAGAATGGATATAGAATCCCTAGAAAGAATTCAGAAGGGAATGACAAGACTAATCCCGGGCATTAGGAACCTTGAATACAGAGACAGGTTAAAGCATCTTAATTTGCACTCCTCGAGAGACGTTGAGTGAGGGGCGATATGAAAGAGGAATATAAATAGAAGGCAGGTCAAAACAAAGGGGTCATTACAAAGGTACTCAAACCATCCAACCAGGAGCAAACTCGTAACAATGGTTTTAAATTAAACAAATTTAGATTTAGGCGCGAAATAGGTAAACATTGTTTTGGAAATAGAGTAGTGGACGAGTGGAACAAGTTACCAAACATCATCATTAACGTGAATACGCTGGATCGCTTCAAACACAGGTTGGATGGTTTATGAGCAATAGGGGTTGGGTGTAAATGGGACTGCCCAGTCTGGGCCAATAGGCCCGCTGCAGTTTCCTCCATTCGTATGTGTGTGTGTGTGTGTGTGTGTGTGTGTGTGTGTGTGTGTGTGTGTGTGTGTGTGTGTGTGTGTGTGTGTGTGTGTGTGAATTTTAAATTTTCAATTTTTCTGCGGACAGCAGTTAGTTTATTGTGTACCCCATACTCATCCTGTGAGCGGTAATGCAAAAAGGATTACAGAGTATAGGCCACAAAGGGTGTTTATCGGACCCCAGTGATTTTTACAATATGGCATTGAATTTTCAGAGTATTCACACATACATTGTTTGTGTAAGTCGGTACATAGAATTGGGATTCGGTACTTGATGCGAAGTGTGGATACAGCCTTAATATATCTGCTATCTTGTCATCAGAGATAAAGTGCTTTGCCATTGCATACACAGTGTCCTATAAGATACTATGTTTTCATAGTCTAAGACGTAGTGTTGGAGTGTGTGGCCATATGTCTGGCAGCACACTTTACATTTAGTTTTGTTCACATCTGCCTGAGGGCATACTGCCTGAGGTACTTATATCCTAACCTTAGTTTAGGGGTTACAACATCTTGTAATCTAGAAATTGTGTTACTTGCTCCGTATACATGTTTTACTTGATACATCTTATCATGGTAAACAATTGATTGACTAGTGCCTGTTTGCACATGTCTACTGGCTTCAAATTTATCAGTAAGTTCTTTTCTGATTACAGTTTTTAAGGTTTTCTTTGACATTTCTAGATTGTATTCAACATTGTTATTATTGGACGCGAGTTTAGCTAAGGCATCAACTCCATCATGTACATTAATGCCTATGTGAGAGGGGATCCACAACAGATTGATCCTGATACCCCCGTCAACAAGACACATATACTTGTGTGTGGCTTCAAAGACAAGCAGGTGACACTCTGAGTTTAGTGTATCAAGAGCATGTAGTGAGGATAAGGAGTCAGTGTTAATAAGACTGCCAGTAGCAGTGTCTTCAACAAGTTTCAGAGCTGTGTGTATGGAAAATAGTTCAGTCTGTAGAATGGATGCAGAGTTACTAATTCTAACTCCTCTTTCTTTTACATTACCGTTAGGCTGAGTCACAATGGCAGCACTTCCAGCCCTCCCACAGACAGTGATAAGAGAGCCGTCAGTGTAGATGGTCTATGTGATGTTATTTTCAGTCTGTAGATTATGTATACGTTCAAGAGCTCTCACTATGGCGGTGTGTTGGAGATAAGGATTATGTGTGATCAGTCGTTTAGGCGGGTACGTGGGTGTTATGATGTCGAAGGGAACTGTCCGCAAGGGTGGATGGAAGCGCAGCTGTGTCTCAGCTTTGTGTGTGTGTGTGTGTGTGTGTGAAAATCACATCATAAAATTCTATGGCACGACTAGTTACTTGCTTGTAAGAAAGTCTCTAGACAATGCAAGAACGTCCACATTAACTGAATCAGAGGGCTAAGATTGAGGACTTGTTGATCGTCTAGTTGGCCTAATTTCTCAGGACTACACTAACCTGGAGGGGATGGCAAAGTTAATGATCTCTTCATCTGTCCAGTTGGCCTCCACCAAAGGCACCATGTGGCACCAGTAGTTGGGGGTGGCACCCAAGAACTGGTAAGCGAGCCCATTCAATAGCGTCGTAAACGTACCTGCAAATATTGAAAAATAAATGTTTCACTGTACAACTAATATAAATAGTCTCTTTCCCAAGGTGACATTATTAGTTTACTACCTAAATCAGGGTTTTTAAGGTGGGGGTCAGTTGAGGTTTTCTGGAGGAACCGTGGATTGAAAGCAAGCAAGGTAAGCTAATCTTGCAAAGCTACTTTTACCGCAACTGTATTATTTTGAAGACGTACATATAATCGTATGGACGGTATGGATTTATCATAATTTCGAAATCATTTTCCTCTTTGTATTAATTTTTAGCAAAATAAACCTTTATCATAATTCTGGAATTAAATTTTCAAAATGTAAATAAATCTGAAAATCTCAAAAGTTAACAAACGGAAAAGCTACCCATATGCCTGATGTTCCTGTATTGCATGTTATACCGCCAACGTTTTTAGTCGTGTGGGTTTGGAGAAATTTTTGCGTGTTGGGCGGTGTTTGATCTAGGTCCGTAGTTCTCAGCCTTTGTCTCATTCTTCCCTACACGTACTTTAGTAGTGCAACTGGGTAATATTCGCCTCAAGGACTTTATTAACACCAGCAGTCAGACTTGTATTGTACTGACAAGCACCTTCGTAAATTTCCACCTCAGCAGACGCCTGGTTGGAATCAAGGATCATTTACCTGAGTTTTATTGGCAGACAGTGCCATTGTTGGACTCCCTTATACACCCTGTGTATCAAATAGTAAAAGAATTTAGTACTCACTGGAGATTTTTTGACAAACTTTTCGTGTAAACTTTCAAATGCTGTTCCGCCTACACCTTTGTTTTTCGTGCTTTGTTAGCCATAACTCGCCATCTCAACCATGCAGGATCACTTTCTGACTAACTACACAATCTCCATAATTACCAGGATTCACTATGACAAATACACAAATGGAAGACTGAGTAAAATAATGAATCTGATTTTCCCTTGTTTATGATAAATTGACGACCCTAGTACTTTACTGTCTATTGTGGGGTCATCTCATCCCCTCTATCTTTCTCTCGAAGTGAGAGACAATACAAGTACAGTCGGGGTCAAGAGTTCGCTCCCTCCCAAAGTGAAGCAATATTGATCTCAAATGAGAAAAAGAGCACATCCAGGGTAAGTAGGCTCGTGGAGCGAACTTTTGCCCGCGACTGTATAGGCAAAATACATGTGAGGTAACAATCAGAACAAGTTGGAGGTTAACAGTAGTAGAAAAAACGAACAGAAGCAGGCAAGGACAATGACGGTGAGGTTCCAGCGGCCGGTGGAGCCTGCCAGCTCCTGCAGGTCGTCCAAGCTTCTCACTTCGTCGCCCCTATCCTTTTCGCCATCCTGTTGGCTGCCCATCGTATCCAAACCTACCTCTTCCTCCTTCTTCCTTGCGTTTCCACCAACCATACTGGGGTCCACATTATCCTGCAGGTGGACAACCTATTAGTCACATGAAACGTTAGAATTATTAGATTTTGAATGCCCTATGTGCAACATCACAGGACAGAGGATCAATAGGCCTGAACTGATGTGTCTATGCTATTTTTTAAGCAATGATTCGGTTGGCCAATCATCACAGTTGAAGGGAGTACACTAGCTACCAAGGCCAACAGGCTGACTGATGCGTTATAACATAAGTTAGTCTACTTACTCTATTCAGCCAGTTCGGCACTGGGGTTAATTTAAGGTGGGTCACTTGACTCTATACACTCTGGTATCCATCCATTTGTTACTGGGGGATCCCTTTTTCGGTAAATGTATTAGTTAACATAAGAACATAAGAACATAAGAAAGTGGGATACTGCAGGAGGCCGACTGGCCCATACAGGGCAGATCCCTTTCACACCCATCCCAGCACTTCCATGTGCCTATCCAACTTCGTCTTGAAGCTCCCTAGCGTCCCCGATCCTACTATAGCACTCGGTAGCCTATTCCACATATCCACAACTCTATTACCAAACCAGTGCTTGCCTATATCCTTTCTGAATCGGAATTTATCTAATTTAAAGCCATTTGTTCTAGTTATTTCGTTATTACTGAGCTTCAGAACATCTTCCATTTTACCCTTGTTAATCCCACTTACCCACTTGTACACCTCTATCATATCTCCCCTAACTCTACGCC